TCAAAGTTAGTTTATCTGCAGTGAACGTAACCTTATAAATATATGCCTGATAAATATTAACTAATATTATTGTATATTAATACGCTTAATTTCACGTCTTCTCTACGTTTCACGAAATATATTTCATGGGACAAAACTATTCATAATATTATATTTCTGAAAGTACCTACATTATATTTTATCACATAGTGCGCTGTGCTAATATAATAATATATATATGATACATTATACAATATTGTATTATATATACATATATACAGAGCCACAGAGAGAATTTCTTCGTCGGATATATATTATATATATATATATTTTTTTTTTTTTTTATCTATTGTAATGGCGAATGGGTTCATATTAAATTAGAAAAAAATTACAGCCAAACTGATGAAATCATACACTAATATAATATGTACATTGTACATTTATTATATGGAAGTTTGGTTTTGATCCTCTGAGGGAGATAATATTATAATATAATATCTGACGTCCATGAACTTGGCCCACCGACATGAACATATCAACACAAATATTATGCCAATATTTTGCTAGTAATTTGCGAGAATTTGCGAGTAATTATTACACAATCTACCTGAGAGTAGGCCAACTTCATGTAGCCCACCCACTTCACCCGATTAGTTCGAGATTGGTGTCAAAAGCTTGGTTGCAATTTGCCAGAATTTGCAATAAGTCATTGTTCTTTATAAGAATTATAATGAATAATTAATTATTAATTATAATAATTATTATTAAAAATTTCAAAATTCAACTTACAAATACTTAAAAATTGAGCTTTTAAACTTACAATTTACCCAGTGTTATTTGGACATATTAGGGCGGCCAACTTCACACACGTCGATTTTTGATTAACTGTAAATTAATAAAACAAATTTTGATGAAAACACTTAGTTGTTAGTACAATATAATAATACATAATATAATTTAATTGTCGACTATATTGAATTTTTTTAAATGTAAGTATTTGTTGTAAGTTGAATTTTGAAATTGGTAATAATAATAATTATTATTATTAATTATTAATTATTCTTTATAAGAATTATAAAGAACAATGACTTATTGCAAATGCTCGCAAATTACAACCAAGCTTTTGACACCAATCTCGACCTAATCGGATGAAATGGGTCGGCTACATGAAGTTGGCCCACTCTCAGGTAGATTGTGTAAAAATTACTCGCAAATTCTCGCAAATTACTCGCAAAATATTGGCATAATTTTCGCAAAAAAAAAACACATGCAGTTGATTACTGATTTGCGATTATAGATAGATACAGGAAATATTATATACCTACCTATACTCAAAGCGAGTGGTGCGTAACGATTAAATTGCACACAAAGGCGTAATATATAATATAGGTAATGTATATTCGTATTTTATCAAAACGAAATCGAATCCTGATGTTGGTTTTAAAAACCTTCAAAATTCATTTTTTTTTTTTCAATACGCATATTATACGATTTGAATAATTGCAATACACACGGTACACGCTTAATAATAATAATGTAAAAACATATATCACATGACAATATGACATATTACATAATATTATACCCATAAGCGTGGCAACGTTTCAACTGCATCTATGGCATTATGATTGAATTTCACAGAAAAAGTTAATGCGTGTAGTACGTGTAGTAAATTTAGAACTTAATTGTATTCGAACAAGCATGAGCACATTATCCCATTATATCCTTAGTTCAGATTAAAGTATAATATGCTTTTATGTAAGTAATTGTATGTTGAATACAAAAAGCTTACGGAAACCGCTAGTTGGAATTTTGATTTAGCTGATGCATTGAATTTTGCATTTACATATTCAAAAAAATAGTTCTCAGTTTTTGAAAAAAATTTAGTTTAAACCGGTAATAGAGTCTATTTATTTTAAAATATAATGTTTAACATCTTAGATATCAAAATATACTACAAAATTTCGAAATAAAAATTTGAATGAATGCATTATTTAAGCTGAAATGAGTACATTTTATGATTGAACCACCACATAAATTGTTAAATATTAAACCTGAACATATAATCTGGTAAGTACTTTTTGTTATTAATTTATCATTTTTTATCAATTTTAACAAAAAAAAAAATACAACATGCCTAAATTAAAACTATAACTTATTGTTAATAAGACAATTTTTAAATAAGAAAAAATTAAGTAGGTCAAAGTTGCCTAAAATAATTCAAATATTTCAAATTTGAACTCTTAAAAGGGGAGTTCAATTCAAAAAAACTTTTTTAATTTTTAAAAAGAAGTTGCTTGAAGAATTTGAAGAATGTTTTTACCTTTATGCGGTAACAAAGAACATGATTTTGACTATTCTAAGGCATACTATTGCTCGTGAAATTGGATGCAACGTTGCTAAATTGTTTAAAATAAATTTTTGTTAGGTTTATGTAAATTAATTTAGAAATATATTTTAGTAAAAATTATAATTAAATTTCAATAAATAAATTGCAGATGTCGTAAATTGTTTATAAGAGATCCGATGATAATATATTCTGAATTCTGATTCACATTGAAAGTATGATTAAAAATATTAAAATATAACCAATTATTTTTTAGCGATGAGAAGAAGTTTGTATGGTATCGCCAATAATAAGTATAGGTAATAAAATATGTATAAACTTGAACCTTCTATAATTCTATAACAACGTATGGATATCCAGTGGCGTAATTAGGAATT